CCTCCCGCCGCCGGCTGAGTTTCACCCCGACTTTTTTTTAGGGTTTTTTTTTTTTTTTTTTTCTTTTCTTTCTCATTGCAAAACTCAAACTCAATCCAAAGGAAAAAGAAAAGCTTCGATTCTTCCGACGTCTTTCACGGGAGCCACCGACAAGAGAGACTAAGGCAGAAGGCCTCCACCGCCCGGCCGGGGACCCGGCTCTCCGTTCTTCCTCTCGCCCGGGGTGTTTGCTGCTCAAAGCCCTCCGGGATTCACTGCGGCAAAATTGCCCCTTGTCCCCGCGGCAATCGTCCCCTCGCATCCCCCTCCGACAGCCGGGGAGCGGAGGACACGCCACCGGCCCCCGGGGAGAAGGGTCGGCGGCCGTCTCTCCTCCCTTATTGCTTCTGAAGCAGCGGGGCGCCGCGGGCTGCCCTCGGCGGGGGCCCCCCCGCCCCTCGGCCGGACTCTGCGGGGCTGGGGGCCGGTGGCACGGGGTGGGCCGGTTTGTGCTATCTGTAAGGCGCTGGCAGGGAGGGCAGGGCTGGGGAGAGCGGCGTCCTGACACCGGGGGAGAGATGGGGAGCGTCCGGTCACAGGCAGGACAGGGAGGGAAATAAAATAGTGACCCAAAAAGAAGATTCCAACCTTTTTTTCCTTTTTTTTTTTCTCCCGTTTTTTTTTTTGTTGTTTTTTTTTTGTTTTTTTTTTTTTTTTTTGTTTGTTTGTTTTTTTGTGGTTTTTTTGTTTTTTGTTTTTTTTTTTTTTTTTTAAAGTGCAAAAAGCTCTCTGCTGCCCTAGAGAGAGGTTCTTTGGACCGACCATTCATTGCAAAGGAAAAACGGCAGCTAAAAAGGGGGGGGGGGAAGGAGAGGACAATGCAGTGGGGCGTTCGTGCCAGTTCGGTCCCAGGCCAGACAGAGCAGCCTTCGCCCCTCCGACTGCGGCGGCCCGAGAGTGCTTCACGATGCCGGGCCACGCGCAGGGAGCTGGGGAGGAAGAGGAGGCAGCTCCTGTCCCCCCGCGCGCTCACTCACCCCTGGCTGATGCTTTCCGAGTCCTCCCTGAGCTCTGATGTACCTGTGGTTTCTCCCCTGCTCCCAGCCGGCGCCCGGCCCCGGCCATCGCCTCTGTCCGGGGGCTGCGTGGGGACAGACGGTGCTTCGGGAAGGCCGGCGCTGCCCCAGAATGGAAGCGCGTCGTCCCCCAGCCTCGCCTCCCCGGGCAGGGGGAAAAACGGGCCGCGAAGCCCCTGCTCCCGGCCAGCGTATGCCAGCCCTGCGGCCGGAGAACCCGCGACACCCTGGCTGTGGCGCTCCTGCCCTGGACGCAGGCAGAGCCGCCCGGTTGCGCGAGAGCGGTGGGAGAAGGAGGGGGTTGGATCGCAGCCCCTGCGGCCGGACGAGGGAAACCGTAAGGGGGCTGGGAGCGCAGGGCAAGCGATGAGCTGGTGGTGGCACGGAGGGGTACGTTTCGTTCCAGCTCTGCTCCCGCTTCCTTGGAGAGACCTTGACCCTCAAGCTTTGTGCTAACGGGGAAGTGACAAGTGTTTCAAGGCAAGGAGACGACGGGGAGGAGGGGAAAAGCTGGGGGAAAAGGGTGCCCCATTTCTCTGCACAGAGATTTCTATTACAACCTCCGCCTTGGGAGCGGCCAGCCTCCGGGCTGAGGCTCCCTGCCATTTGCCCGTTCCTCCTCTGGTACTGGCCAGCCTGGCGGGACATCTTCATCGGCAGAAGTCCCGGGGGAGGAGGAGGAAGGACGGTGGAGCGAGGCCAGCAGCGGCCCTGCCTGCCGAGTCAGGTGGGAGGCAGCGGCAGGACACTGAGGGCAAAGTGGGGATGTGGAGGAGCGGCTCTCCGAGAGGGGTGGGATGGGCTCTTTTTCCTTCTCCTCAGTCTGCCCCGGGGAGGGTCTCTAGCTGATTTTTTGGATCAGCTTCTCATCGGACAGGCAGTAGAGGCTGTTGATGGACAGGTCCGAGATGAAGTGCTCACAGGCTTTGCGGGTGATCTGTTTGCAACCTCGCAGGTCGATTAGAGTGACGTTGGAGATGCGGCGCAGGTACAGCAAGGCCTGGTCCGTCAGCTTATTGCAGCCTGCGGGGAGATGAGAGGAAGAGAGTGAGCTGCAACACCTCCGCGAAGCCAGAGCTGAACTCCCACGTCAGGCCGGGGAGGAGGAAGCCGCTTTACGATGGGCAAGTCCAGCCCGGGCCACCCAGAGCAGCATACCCACCTGCCATGTTGAGCTCGGTGAGGGAGTTGCGTGTCGAAGAGCCCACGGCCGTGAGGAGGTTGGCTGACTGGTCCGTAAGGTGGTTGCAGTGGCTGAGGTCGAGGCGGGAGAGCAGGGGCATATGGCGGATGATCAGCCGCAGCGTGGCGTCGGTGATGTCCAGGCCGGCGAGCCGGAAATCGATCATGTTGCGGAGTTTGCTGCGATTGTCCTGACCTGCAAAGGGAGAGGAGAAGCCGAGTGTGAACGATCTGTCCTGCTGGGTTGGGGCATTCCGGATCTGGCATCGCCTCCCCGCGCTGCACCCAGCATGTCACCCTCCTCCAACTCCCCATGGTGGCAGCCTGGGCAACAGCTTACTGGGTTTGTCTGTCGGAGGGGTGAGTAAGTCCCGGATCTGAGGGTCCTTGATTCCTACTGCCCACCGAAGATCGAGGGTCCTGAGAAGGGGGCAGCTGGAGGTACTGAGAGCACAGACCGCAGACCAGGAACAGCCCGCTAAGATGAGGTCTTTCAGGCCTGCCGGGAGAAGGGAGAGAGGGAACAAGTCAGACGGGCTCGGTCAGCTCCAAGGCGTCGCAGATCTCAAGCCTCTCTCTCCAGGCACGTGAGGAAGCGGCTCCCCTCCCTGCCTGGGGTGGGACGGGGAGCTGGGCTCTCCGAAGGAGAGGTTAACACACAGCAGCAAGAAACCACACCACTATCGGCTGCTTGCTGGGTGACGGGATCCAGGCACCTCGGAGTTTTCCTGCTGGCAGGTACCAGGGTGCAGAACCCGTCTCGCTGTGGTCCAGCCACTGAAAAGCCTCAGAGCAGGCTGGTAGCCGAGGTAGGGCCCCCTCGCCAACCCACGCTCACCTGGCAGCCTGTTGACGAGCCACGTAAGCTGTTTTTTGGAGATATTGGTCCAACTGAGGTCGAGGCTGACCGGCTGTCTTTTGATGATGCCGCTCAGCGCCTGGGGGGTGATGGACTTGCACCTGCTCAAATCTATCTTTGTCCACAATCTCTTGTCACAGCACCTGGGGACAAGGACAAGGTTGAAAGTCGAGCTCCGAGAGCCTTGTGGGACAAGAGACGGCCAGCAGGTTGTCTGGCTTTGGGGAGGAGCCCAGCCCTGGCATGGCCCCAGCCGCAGCACAAGGCTGCTCTGCCTGGTTTCCTTGGGTTTCCCTGCACGCGTGGGGAGGTTGTTGAGGGTGTCCGGCCACCCGGGGATGCGCCGAACAGCCCTGGCGGGGTTTTGCTGCCACGTAACAAGACTCTGAGTCATGGCTGTCGGCCTGCTTGCCCCCTCCCGGGTGCTCCTCCTGCCAGGGTGAAGATCTTAAGCATCCTTGCTCCCAGCAGGCAAAGCACTCCGCCTGGTCCCACCCCACGGCCTCAGCAGCACTCGCTGCTTCGCTGGGAGCTGCGACAGAGCCCGGAGGTGGCACAAACTCCTCCTCTCCCATGGGAGCCTGGGGAGACCCAGGACCCGATGGCAGCTCAGCTGTGCCCCCGAAGATGCCACATCAGTGGCAGGTGAGGGGACGCTCTCCCCCAGCCACCATGCCACACCATTCCCACCGGCCCGTTGATCAAAGCAGACCGGTCTTTTCCCATTGTACCATTCCCGCTGCTCGGCAGTTAGAAACCTCCCAGTTTCCAGTCCCCGTCTGTTCCCAAGCCCTCCATCCACAGCTGTCCCAGTGCCAGCATTGTCTTCAGGCCTGCTGCCCCCCGAGGCGTTTCCAGCCAGCAAACCCATCCCTGCCTCAGCCTGCCTTCCCCTGCCTGCTGGGAGGCTGCGGCAGGACGGGAGGGAGGGAAGGGCAAGGACCACGCCAGACAGCAGGCGAGGAAAGGGCATCGGCACCTCGCAAAGACACAGCAGGGGATGGAGGTGCTCAGGTGACAGCACAGTCTGCCACTGTCTCCCAACGGAAGGGACAGGAGGAAGGCACGGAAGGGGACAATAAAGACCAGCGCATATATGGCAGGGGCAGAAGCCAGCAGGGCTGGCCACAGGGTCCGAGGACAATGCTGCCTGGTGAGTGCCAGCTCCGGGGAGCGAAGGGAGAGCACCGAGGTGAGATCCCTTCCCCGGGGCTGCCCATCAGCCACCAGGCTTGGCGTGGCCATGCCCAGTCCAGGGGTTGGGACGTGGGCAGGCCTGGCTCTGCCCCCCACCCCGCCACCACGCGTCCGTCCCCACACTCACCACTTGTACCAGGTCTTGCACACCCGCATGCACTCGCAGAGCTCCCGGCGAGTGAGGTAGCGGAAGACGGACATCCACACCTCGCGCTGCATCCAGCTCTCCTCGCCCTCCTGCGCCCGGCCGCCTCGGCCGTTGAGCCGGGCCGCCCCCGCCTCCTCCGCGTTCTCGTCCTCCTCTTCCTCTTCCTCCTCATCCTCCTCAGCAGCTGCTTCCTCCTCCCCGCCGCCTCGCAGGGGCATCCTGGCGGGTGCATGGCGCATGACGACGCGGGGAGAGTGCTGCAGGTTGGTGGAGGAGGCCGTGATGGCTTGCAGCTTGGGGACGATAGAAGTGCCGTGGACGTCTTTGGTGGGGCGTTGGAGCGTCACGGTGAGGTAGGAGCCGTGCAGCTTGGCCTTCTCCACCTCCGACAGCTCCTTCTTGCCGCTGGGGTTGTTCTCCTTCTCCCGCACCATCGTTCGCTCGGTGGCCTGGAGCCGCAGCAGCTGCCGTCGCTTGAAGCGCTCGTCTCTGCTGGCGCTGTGGTGGTCGCTGGGGCCGGCTCCCGGGGACGAGCGCGTCACCACCCCTCGTGGAGATGCCGGGTCGTGGATCAGCTGCAGCATGGGGGTGGGTGAGTTGGGCGGGGGGGTCAGGGGCTCCTCACAGCTCCGCAGGGGTCGCAGCACCTTGGCTTGCGCCGTGTCGTCGTCGCTCTCCTCCACCTTCCTCTTCTGCAGGGGAGTGGGGGGGCAGGTTAGCAGGGATGGAGCCACTGTGGGCCTGGGGAACGCATCCCCCCGTCTCCTCTTCCCCAGGGCAACAGGCACGGTGCTGGCAGGGCCTGCGCCAGCGGTGCCCAGTACCACCAGCACCAAAGTCCACCCACACCAGCAACCAACGTTTTCCTTCCCCCTTCACAAAAGGGGTGCCGTGCCCCCTGAGGTTGGGGGTGGCTTCCACTCCGTGCCTAACAGTCCCCCGCCTCTTGCAGTGGAAACTTTCAGGATCACAGCTCAGCACAAGACACCGTGGGGACAAGGGGTGCCCATCACATCCACTTGAAGTGCTGAGGGACCCAGGAACCAGGTAGATGTGCACCCCGAGCATGCACATCACCCAGGAGAAGGTGAAGGTGCCCCAAAGGCGGCTCCTCCCTGCCTGGCTTGCCTTAGCTGCCACGCTTCCATCCACAGCAGCAGGCACGGTCCTACCGGCGATGTGGCAGCCGTAGGCCGGGGGCCTGGGCCGGGGTGGCGGGCGCCCGCGGGCGCCGCAGTCCGCTGGCTGCCTGGTGGAGGAACCTGGCTGCCCCTGCCGCTTCTGCAGGAGCCTGGCCTTGGCCTGCTGACGGGCTCTCTGGGAGCCGGGGACAGAGAGCAGGGGGCTGTCAGCTCACCCCTCTGCAGGATCCCAGGACTGGACTGTGGCTGTGTCTGCTGGCAGGATGCTGCCAGACCCCCGAGCGCCGCTGTGCTGCACCCCCAGTTACCCCCGCTCTCACTAGTCACTGCCCAACTGGTCCCCTGGATGGCACTGGTGCCTGCCCGCCCTCCAGCCCCCCCATGCAGCCCAGCCTAGTTGAATGGTGCCTATCCCTCAGCAGGACACAGCGGGACGGAGGACACACGTCCTGCCCTGCCATGGCACAGCCCGCCTCTTACCTGGCCCTTCTCTGTGTCGTCACCCTGGTAGCATTTGGGGC